TATTAGGATCATGTATTATTGCAGATTATTCACACCAGAGAAACTATTCAGTATTTACACATGTGTGACTTATTTATGTCACTTAGGAGTATATCTTCAATATGTATTCATTTTCCTATGAATGAATCTATTTTTATTTCTATGTTAGTAGGAAGCTAATAGTGTAAACAAGGGATTAGAATGGCCTCAAAATCTTTTCAGAGTATCTCATATAGAAAGGCTCCCATCAATTGTTAAAATAAATCACATGGTTTCCTTTGGGTATTGCATACTTTGGTGGGGCAGCAGTGCTGTCTCAATGCTCAGTGAAGAAATAATATTAAGGAAAAAACCCCTAACAGATCATTATATCAAAATAACAAACACAAATGCCAATAAACTAGGACATATTAATATATAAACCTCTGAACTGATCATAGCACTATTTATTTATCAAAATATGTTAATACTCTAACTTTCAAATTTACTGAGCAATGAAACCATATTAAATTAAACCCCTTCATCACATTTGTTAAGTGTTCATTGATTGTAGTTTTCCGAATGGTTTATGAATTAAAGTAAAGCTTAGGTGGTCTAAGATAGCACAGCAAAGAGTTTAATATTAGCTTTAAAAGTTTAATGTTAATTTTTAAATCTCTTTGAAAGTGATCTTGAAACCCTTTTAAATGGAGCTCTCAAAATAATGAGTAGATAGGTGTCAACAGGAAATTCATAAACATTATTCATAAAACAAAATGGGAGCCAAAGAGAAACATTTTAAAACAAATCCTGAGTACTTTGCAATTTTTTAATCACAATAAATAAATCAAGCATGCAATAAAATGTTCTTCTTCTTCAAGTACTATTATCCCCTTTATTTTTAACGTAGATATAAAGATTTATGGCTTCAGTCAGGCCTTAGGTGGTGAAATGCTTTCTGCTTAGGTTGTAATGTTATCTCCTTGCTTCTTGTCTTTCATAAAGATACCATGATCAAATTACATAACAATATTCAGGAGGAGCAAAGGAGTCAGTCCCAAATTGAGGAGGAAAAAACTTATTACTAATGTATATCATAGTGAAAAAGATTTCAAAATAAATCTTACAAGAATTCTATTTAATACAGAAGTACAGCCATTGTAGTGAAACTAAGCAAATGCTCTTTTCTTTCTAATGCCTCAACTAACCAATAATATATCAGTTTTCTCAAATGTATTTATTCTATTAAATTACATTATGTGGAGTTTTATGCGTATGTCTAGGAATGTATTAGTTCCACATTTGAATAAACGTTTTAAAATCAGGCTGCCATTAGCCAATTTTAAGGTTTTATGAAATATGATTTTTGAGAAGTCTGAAAATCCAGGAAACTTGTCGACTGAAATTTGATGTGTATAGGAGTGGGGTGGGCAAGGCTAAGAGGAGTGGGGTGATGCAGGTGACCAAAACAATTGCCCCTGTAGGACCTGAGATTCAAAAGCAGAGGGGAGACCTGATGGTTACAGGCCAAAGGCAGCCAGCAAGAGTGTTTTCTTTGGATAATATATATACGAAATGCTGCTAATGTTTGGAAATTGGGAACCACAACACAAAGATCAAGAATTCTAGCTTCCCTGGAAAACTCAAAAGATGTGGTACAACTGGGAAGTGAAATTTCCACACGGCAGGAGCTCAGCACTGTCTTGTTCCCTATACACAGGGGATGCTCTATCCACCTGGGCATCTCCATTCCTCTTGCTCATTTTTTTTTCAGCCTGGACCCTTTAGGACAAATGATACCTGTGGTCGTCAATTGATTATAGTAAATGGTGGGAACTGCTGTGCCTTTTTAGGACAGATCTTTTGCCTTATATGGAGGAAGTGTTTCGTCATGGGGCCATCCCGGGGTAGTGCACACTGGCTTGCCACCCGTTCCTTCAGGTTAAGCCATCAGCTTTGGCTGTTGTGGAAGCTCCCGCCATAATGCCTTTATTGCTTTGTTTTATAAAGCTAAGTGGGTCTTGGATGCATTAAAAAATCCATTAATCATACTAGACAATTATGACTCTAGTGACATCATCTCTGAGCACCTCATGCCTTCAAATTCCTCCTTCTCCCAAGCCCCACTGAGCACTATAGAAGTACGGTCCCTCACTGTAGTGCTACATTGAGCACAAGTTTACAGAAGGCACCATTTGCTTGTTTTCTGAAGGCAATCCCAGGGGGTACAGACAGACAGATTTCTGGGGTAATGTAGGTGAAAAGACTTGCTATTTTGTAACGCAGGAGCTCTCTCTCCATGTCTTCAACATTTAGTAGTCA